GCTCGCATTGAAGTTACAGTAAGTTCTCAGCACTTGAATGTGTTTTCGAGCCCCACTCTTAGGTGTATAGCAGCAAAAATAACTTCACGGCGCGTATATAGTGGTAATTGCCTCGATCTGTATATTAAATAAATTACAGACTTAACAACAGTGTCATCCCAAAGGGTTGAACTAAATGCATACAGGTAGGACTTAAAACAAACTTTTTAAATTTGTAAATGACAAATAGAGTGTATATATAAATTCATTATTACAAATATACAATATTGTATAGTTATATTTATCATAAATCAATCGCTTGTTTTAACAACTGTTAATTTACTGATAGAGCTATCAATGTATATAATTCTATAATTTAAGCATAATTTATATAATGATAAGTTTAAGGATGTGTTTATTAATTGACCGATAAAAGTAAAAGTAAACGGATGTTTTAGTAACTAAGACATGTATAGTAAAAGTAAAGTACATTTAAAACTTACAATGAAAAGTTTGTTACAGATTTTGCTGAAATTACAATTTTGCACTTTTATCGTTAACTAATTAGTGATTAGTTTTTAGTGTATAGCACTTATTTTATACAAATGTCAGCATATATTGAATTGAATGAGTTGTAAGTTTACAAATTAGCCCTAAAGGGAGATCTATAGGAAGTAAGTGTGGAAAGAGTTAAGGAAAACAGATAATTATTTTATAATTATATAACAATCAACGCCTATAATATTATTTACTGTAAAATTTCTATAATATAAATCATTAATTAACACAATTAATGAAGTGTGTGGGAAAGCCTAGGGATGTCACACCTGTTGTGCTAAACCCAAACAATTCACAGAATTGTTATTTCAATCATTTAATTTCATGGGTTTCAAGAATTATAATCCCAATAATTAGACAATTATACCATTTCACTATTAGACAACTAACAATTTAACCATTACAGAATAAGCTAATTTATTGATAAAATATTTGTACCCACACATTTAATGTCCTAAAAAACTAGTCTAGATATTTTATAAATAATTTCAATTGCATTAATTAGTTAACTGTTTATTCTGGAAATGATAAATTATCATAGTATCACACTTGATAATATTTTCTAATAATTGATTATTAATAGATTTTGCTAGAATTCTATGGAATTTTTCTAACTTGTTTAATTTACTTGACATTTTTTAGATTTTTGTTTAAATGTTGTTATAAAAGATTATAATTCCTTTATGCGGTGTATCAATAAAAATAAATATTAGTATTAATAAAGTTATATTTACTGTATAATAATAATATTTAGGTTTAAAACATTTGTTTAGTTGTGTATTAGTTATGAAACTAAAACTAAAACTAATATTAGAACTAAAAATATCTAATTTGTTGTGAAATATAATATGAATTAAATACAAAAATAACTATTGATTCTAATTCCATCCATTGATTATATTTTATCAATTAATTATAAAATAAAAAGTCTATTTTTGAATAAAATAGTCGATAAATTCAATGCCAATGCAATCAAAGATCAATTATTAAACATTGGAACTATCGGTACATTACTTGTATAACCATTATTGTTAAATTCAGTCCTCAATAACAAATTATCAATTCATAAAATGTACAAATCTTTGAAACATTGGACTCATTGATACAATTTATTAAAATTATATTTCTAATGAAAAGATTTAGTTTAATCTTAAAATATTTAAAAGTTTTGAAATAATACTGATTTTTGCATTAAATTATATGAATGGACACAAAGACAGGCGGCAACCGTTGGCTCAAGTATTTGTGTTTATACGATAACACTATTGCTTTTAGGAGTAGAGGAAACCACTATTGATAAAAGCGATACAATTGTCTTTATGGTAAAATACAATATAATAGCATAAATGACACGAACATAATAATCTATTTGACGGTATAATTGTTAGAAAATGGTTCACTTAATATCAGTAATAGGAGTGATATTCTCGATTCTGTTCCACATCTTCGTACGAGAGCCCAGTTATCTGCAGACTTTACACATGAGACAGGCGTTAGGTATGGATCACTTCGACTGCCAAAAGACGGCTGTGTTTCGGGAGAGAGCGAGCAGTTGTTATTCAGTGAATCTGTCAGAGTTTGGGTCCAATAAAAATATGAGCAAATTTGACCAAATCCTGTACCAGAATCGACTCCAAAAGGCTCGCGTCTCGCTATTAGAGCCCGACATTCAGTTTGAGTTTAAACCGAAGAGGAATAGTCAGAGAATATGGTCGGATTGGTTCCGATCTACAAGCTTTTGGCGAATGTCCGCTATTTATATGCTGTGCAGACTTTTTGTTAATATAACCCAAGTTTATACACCACTATATTTACAGGAGAGTCTTCTACTTGCTAAAGTAAATTTTAAAGCATTTATCATTTGATCAAGGCATTTAATTTTCCATTTAAACTCTTTTAATTTAGAGAAATATAGCAATTGTTCCGTTCATAACATATTTTACTGGATTTATATTTTCATTAATTGCAAAACCCATGTCAACAAGAATTGGCTCAAAAGTATTTAAAATTAGTTAAATAGTATTTAATGAATACATTTTAAATTGATTTAATGACCGATATATTGACAGTTAATTATGGGCATTGGCTGCGGGTTTGGTCTTTTATCGTGCATTTGGATATTTGTCGGCGATTTGGGTATAACTTTATGGCAAGTGTTTTGTGTGGCGGCACTGTTTGGCATCGGAGGCACGGCTATGCTTATCGGGAGTCTATCGCTTACCGCAGATCTCATTGGAGAAAATATCGTAAGTATTGGTCAAAATATTATTTATAATCATATTTCATTACCAATTTGTAATGGATTGTTATATACAAAATGAACTAGGTCAGTGGGGCGTTTGTATTCGGCTCAATGAGCTTTTTCGATAAACTAGTCAATGGAGGAGTGATTGCTATTATCCAGAACTTTAATCCTGTTTATGAAGCAATGAATTTGACATTTTATGAAATCCAAGGGAATAACACTAATTTGCATGAAGACTACTCTTTGGATACAAATACATCGTTTTTCCCATTTATGACAACCGATTCATTGAATTACATAAATAATACATATTTATCATTCAATAATACCCTAACCGATCAAATGCCAGAAAAATTTTATCTCAATATTTTGGTCTATGTTTCGGGTGCGGCCGTCATATTAACATTTATAGCCCTTATGGCTATATTAAAGGCCAAGTTTGCTATACTTGATACGAGTGACAAACAACATGATACAAATGATAATCAAAATATTAATACAATTCCTGAATAGCTTTTTTCAATTATGCATCAAAAATAATCATTAATTATAATATTTTAAAATATTTAATTCAATAACATTTCATTGAATTTAAAGTGCAGAATATATAGGTATATGTTTTTAAATATTTGGTAAGTGTTTTTAACCACTTTGTCTGAATTATTTTTTATTCGTCTGAAAAGTTAATATTTTGGACACAATTCATGAAATTTAATTAAATAAAAACACGTCTCGAAAAATATCAAAAAAAGATATTTTAATAAAAATATTCAATTCAATGGTAAGTGATATGTGTTTTTCTTAGTTGCTGTACAGCGAGTGCTCTGACAAGTGCTCTGCGAGTGTAAGCACTTCAACAACAAATTGCTAACAAAGTTGTCCATTGATTTTGTCTGTGAATAAAATGCCTATCGATTCCGATAAGCAATAGTTCTTTAGGTCGAGCGTTGACTATAGACTTATCGTTGCTTTCGGTGGGCTTATGGCTGTTGGCTATGAATACAAAATAAGATCTTTATTAGAATTTTTATTGAAAAACATCCCAATTATCAGATTCTCTATATTAAACCCTAATGTATGGCTATCTTCGCGAAAAGCGATTTAGGTTTTGATGAACTTTTGCTTAAATTAGAAATTCAAGGCTGTATTAAAGTCAGCAAACGTTTGCCATCACCTCATTCTGTCTCTCAGATAACATTAAATCTATCACTAATTGGCACCAAAAAACAGTAATCAATCATTTGTTTTAATATTTATATGCAATATTATTGGACGAAATGTCTTTTTGAAGATTACATGTAAAATATATGGAAATATTTTGAAAATATTTGAATAATAAATCTCATTATTGCAAGACATCCGCTAAACACGAGTTGTTTTGCAAAACAAACGAAGAGATATTGCATAACAAATATCCCGTCGTATCGTTTCCTACCGTTTCTAACCGTAAGATTAATTGCAATCTAAACTTGTTGTCAATTTAGCACAACTCTTATAATTTTGTTTATTTTACTTTTCAAACTTATTTATTTATTATTCAAATATAAAAATATTATGAAACATTATTTAACAATAAAAATAATAAATTTATATCTAATAAAAAGTGAACATTAAATTGAATGATATATAAAAAAAAGTTAAGTAATTATAAAAATATGAATGGCATATGTGTTGAACATCTTATCAATACATCTAAACCAGAAAATCGATGAATTGTGAGAGAATTTGCACGAATTGTGTGCCAAATGGTTGTTATGAATTGAATTGCCTTTATATTAGACGTCGTGAATGAAGTCAATGCCATAAATGGAGGCAAAAATTCTTGAACTTTATAACCGTTGATAAGAGCGGTTTGGGAAATGCCTTTCAGTCTCTCAGTCTCCTCTCCCTGTCGTCGCTTTCTTAAGTAGAATTGTTTTATTTTTTGGCTAAATATATATCTTTTTTCTCTTTTTCTCATATATGAACCGCTCTCTCAAGAGCTCAAAACAATTTTTCAAGGAGTTTGTTGTATAAATAGCTGATAACAAAATTAGTGAAAGTGATGTCCCAACCAATAGTAATGACAATTTATAAATTGTATTCATAAATATTTGCCCAAAACTCTTCGGCTTCTATTTCATCGCAAACTCTTTGAGTTGTAATTCCCATCAAATGATAGCTTTATGTCCTTTAAGTAGATTACACTTATCTTTAATGATCGCATCTCTCTTATGAATCTCCGATATTTTACATTAAGATTTGATGAGTACTTGAGATGAGTATTGAATTTAGTCACTACTTCTTTGGACTGACTGTTGGTTTTGATTGTGAAACGAAAGTGTGGGCTTTCTGACCTTGATCATTTGACCCGTTGTCTGCCTCTTTACCAAATGCCTCTCCGGCCACACATTTTCCATTCGGTTGACAAATAACTTCACAAAACTTGCTGTAAGTGTTTGTTTGAGTGACAAATCGCTTTTGTCATCAATCGGTTTACAACACGAATACGAGACAAATATTGACACAATTATAAAAACAGACAAAAATAAATAATTTCTTAATAATTGATTCATTTTGTTTACTTCACACTGTATTCAACTCTTTTGTCTCAAAAAATATATCATAAAATCAAAAGCAATTGCTTTTATATAAGAATAGTAGTAGTAATGAATCGGTGATGACTTAACGGAATACCCCGTCATTCAGGCAAACAAATTAGAAATTGAAAAATAATTCTCAGAACTGTTTGTAAACGAAAGGCAAAGCTTTGAAAGTGTTTTAAAACAAGAGTTAGAATATGTGTCTCTTTTTATAAGAAAAACGGCAAATAATTGGCTAATTATCTGAATATGATATACAGCGATATCACGAGAATATGTTTGCCTCAGTTATCTTGTTTTACACATTTTTAATTCTTAATATTATCTTTTTTAAAGTTAAGCAATTAATTACATAACGTTTGGTAAATCTCCGAATAATTCAATATAAAAATTCAATCGTAAACTAATAAACAACAATAAAAAAGGAGAAATTCGGGTCAAAAACGCCGTTATTCTGTTTACATCATTGAATTTTAAATCATAAGTTTTAAAGTAAAAGTCATAGATTTTTATTTGCATCTATTTTGTTGTGAATAAAATTATAGCTTTTTATTGAAAAAAGTATTCACAAGACATTCATTACGTATTCGCATACCTGAAAGAATAGGCCATTCATTAGAAATGCAAACAAATAAAATTAATTTATTATTGACTTAAAATAAAATAAATTTAGATTAAAAATGTTTATTATTTTATTGGCATATTTTAGTTGGCATTATATTAGTTGTTTATTTCAAATTCGTGCAATTCATCACAGATTAGTATATGTAATCATTTTACCAGTTATCGGGATCACACATCACACGATCTTCGGAATATTCCTCTCTCNTATTTCAAATTCGTGCAATTCATCACAGATTAGTATATGTAATCATTTTACCAGTTATCGGGATCACACATCACACGATCTTCGGAATATTCCTCTCTCCCTCCCTCTCTCTTCCCTCCCTCTCTCCCCCCTCATCTCTACCTTTTTAAATATTATTTCATAGTTTGAATGTATAATGAATTGATTATTTTTCTTATTAAAAGTTTTAAATTATGATAATGTGAATGCGATAACACAAGTGACTGCACTCTTATATTTTTTAAGTGTTTTTCTATTTTTCGATGGATTTTCCCTATTTTTGCCAATTTTTATTGAGTTGAACCAACGTTAACGCAAATATTTATTTGGCATATGATTTATCGCATAAATTATAATATAATTCACACACTATTTGGTGCTTATTATCGCCAAATGAGTGTCAAAATTATTGTTGACATTAAAAATATTGATGAATTAATTGATGAAAATAATGCGAAATATTTGTTGACAGCGTTTCTCACATAATAAAGTGCTTATCTCATGGGTCTTATGGGATAACCGTTTATGGCGTGACTTTTAGATTGATTAAAATTAATAATAATTAAATGATTACAACTTATTAGATGTGATATTTCAAAATAATGCAAGATCTTGCAGTTTTGCACTTTTGTTGCTTAACTTATGAGTACAGTATATCATATTATATCAATTTGTTGGAATTCATTCAATTATTTCATTTTAATTTGTATTGCTTATTAATTTTCTACATAAATAAATAAATATATTGAGAGAGAGAGATATAACGTTCGCATGTGTCTAACACCCCCCCCCCCACCTATAAGAAATAAAATACAACTATATTTAACTACAATTAAACCAATCGTTTAAATCATGCATTATAAACATGGAATCGACAATAATTCATATCTAAATTCATTCAAAACTTGTTATTAAAAGATTAATGTTGATAACAAAATAATCCTATAAATTATTTAAATGCGAACGTTATTTTTAAAAATGACCACATGCGAACAAAATGCGAACATAGGGGAGGGAGGGGGTCTAGATTTCTTAAAAAGTGCGAACGTAATATGTGAACGTTCCCTTATATTTTTAATATAAGATATTTAATCCAGTGGTATAAATATTTTTATGTGTATAAGGTTGGCAATATTACATATGTATTATACCTTCGTATTTTACTTTGTATTATACGTACACCGATTTATCATTTTGTAAAATGCGTTTTTGTAAAAATAATTATTGATTAAAATGAGTAAATCAAAGCCAAAATTAATTGTTTGGAACTATTTTACATAAAACCAATGACAGATTGCAGCATTTTTTGTCGAAAATCAAATGTCATATTCTTATAATATGGTCTAACTGTATGCAAATTTAATAGTATTTATAAATTTAAAAACAATTGATTGTAGAATATAAGACAATTTACAGTATATTAGTTTTAAAATATTCTCCATTAATTAGTCAAAATAATACAATTAAATTTGATTTAGAAACTATGTTAATTTTTCCCATAGTATGGAAAAACGTAAAATACGTAGCTTCCAAAAAGTGGTAATTTACCAACCTTAGCTTATACAATAATGAAAATCTACTGTAAATATACAAATATTGTATAATTTAATTTCTTTAAATTAAATGATTTAAAAATTGAAATTTGTTTTAAAATTTTCAATTTCAATCGGAATCACTTGAATTGATAACACAATTATCAAACACTTTAGAACTCGATTCCAAACGATCACAAGATTGCAAATAACGTTGATTTCTACTGAATTTGATCAGCAGGTCATTAGTATTGTACGGCTTTTCTTAGATATATTTGCATATCAGTATAAAAACTGCTCCACGAGTTATTAGTATAAAC